CACACCCTCCTTGTACCCATCGCCAAACTTCTGGATGGCGCCCTCCTCCTTCCAGCGCTTGCCGATCAGCTCGTCAAAGGTCTCGCCCTCGGCGCGCTCCAGCGCCCACACGGCCTTGTACGCGCCGCCCAGCGCGCACGCGTTGCCGCCCACGTCCAGCTTGTACACGCCCTCGGTGCCGCCGAGCACGTCGCCAATGACGCGCGCGATGGCCGGGTTCAGCGACCCACCGCCGACGAGGTAGATGCGGCGCGGCTGGGCGGGCAGCTCCGTCCCCTCGGGCTTGCTCACGAGGTTTTGGCTGCGCAGCCGCATCGACAGCGCCTGCGACTCGATGATGATGCGCGCGTCCGTGTCGGCCGGCCAGCCCTGTTCCGCCTCCTTGAGGCCTGTGCCGTCGGCGTTGCAGGTGTACCGCCACGTGCCGGCGCGGATGTTGGGCACGATCTCGGGGAGGTAGAAGTACAGCCCCAGCTTGGCGCGGCTCGCGGCGCTAGGCGTGAGGCCCAGCGGGCGCGTCCGCAGAGCCTGCTTGTTGAACCGGGCCCACGGGTCCTCGCCCTCCTGCGGCTTGGGCAGCGCGTCGCGCACCTTCTCGCGCGCCAGTCCGCCGTTCTTGTAGCAGAGCATGAACATGTACTGGCCCGGCGTGGTCGGGTGGTTGAAGAAGTGGTAGCTCGGGTCAGGCTTGTAGACGGGCGTGCTCATGAGGAAAGTGGTGCTGGTGCCCAGGCTGACGATGGCGTCGAGCGGCCGGAGCGGGAGCGCCAGAATCGTGGCAGGGTTGTCGCCCGTGAAGGGCGCGATCTGGCACTCGGGGCTGAACCCGTACCGTTTTACGAAGTAGCTGCTGATCGGGCCCAGGCTGCCGCCGCCGTCCTGCCGGACATCGCCGAGTCTGATGCGCAGACCCTCCACCTCCTCCTTGCCGCCCGACACAAGCTCGAGCAGAGGCTCGGACCAGCAGTTTCCGGGTATGTCCCACAAGTTCATGCCGCACACGTCGCTGATGTCCATCGGGGCGACGGTGCCGATGAAGACGGAGGCGAGGAATGACGATACGAGCGAGATCCGCGATGTGTACTCGTACATGAATGGGATCTTGCGCTTGAGGCGCATTATCTGGCTGCCGGTAAACCGCTGTAGACCGTCTTGTCAGCCATTGGGTCTCTTTTCCCCCCATCAAGATGATCTCATCATGGCAGACTGACATGATGGGCTGAACTGCCGGTAATCTGCGCCAGCTTCTCGGCCGTCTCAAACTTGGCGTCGAGCTCCTCGCACTCGGCTTGCGTGCTATGGTCTTGCCAATTTGGCGCAACATGGTGGGAGAAGGCAGCCAGTAGTTGGAGGTAGATCGGTTTCTCCGGCTCCATGCTAGCCAGACAATGCTCGGCCATGCGGCCCCAGAACACGCTCCCATGTTGCTGGCACGAACCGCTGATGCCCTTGATCCGGCCCAGCGGCGTCTTCGCCTCGAGGCGCTGCAGCACTATGTCCAGCGCCTCCAGCCACATGGCCACGGGGGCAAACACCTCCCCTTCCTCCTCCTTTACCAGCACGCCCTTGTAGACGCCATACTTGGAGCCCAAGTCCTGGTCGAAGTCGACCTTAGCCTCGGCGACGACTTGGAGATCAGATTGAATGACGATGGCTAGGGAAACTTATATATTAGCGTGGTATCTTTCTCCCGCCATTTTTGGTGGGGGTTCTTGTGTTCCCACGAACCTTTGAGCTGCTGGGTCGAAAGATCGAACCCAAGATAAAGGGGGCCGTCGTCCGCCATTGTGTCGGGGGCGCTGGTGAACTCTGGGTTGGTATGGACGCGGCTGAAGGTGGGGTTGAGGGGTTGAAGAGGGGAAAGTGCGCCTCTTTTTCTTGTTCTTAAACGATCAACACGAAAATAGTTGGGGTTGTTACAAGAAACATGCAGCCGTCTCTCAATCGGGATTTGAAAAGGGTCGGAACAAAACGTCCCCCGCTGCCATCTTGAAAGCGTGGGTGATTTCTAGGTCCGCTGGGCATTAAAGGAGGGAAAGAGAGTGTTTTGGCGGGGCAGTTCTCCCCATCCCCATCATCGACATCAGCCGTCTGGAGTGACAGCCTTGTCACTCGACTACCCATTTAGCCTAAATGCTGAGATGTTCAGTTAACCAATCCGCAGCTTTTGGAGCGCAGTCTGATGCAGGCGGCTCCTAGCCCCATTGGGGTTTGTTACCGGGAGCTTCCTTGTGCCCTGTGGGGTCCAGGAACGACGTCGTTGGGAATCCACTATTTTGGCTACCATTGGAGACCATCACCTCGAATAATATCGAAAAGAAAGGTAAAAAGTGAGTTGGATACACGGCATCAAATAATCTATGCCTCTTAAGGGAGTCATACAAACTACAACATTGCAAACATGAATAATGCGCACCAAGGGTTGCCCAGCCTCGGTCTTTTTACTTGCTTTCTTTCATTACAGAGGCGTATGAAAGGCTTTCCAAGCCGTACACCGTGAGACTTTGTTTCGATGGCTTGCTGGCTTTCACTGGATGTGCACGCAACTACTGCATGTATCCCGCGAGTGCATTTGTAGTCAAATGCCTCACCACCATCATGAGCACAGAAATCGGCGCAAACAGTCAGGATGAATAAGAGGAGGAACGACTGACAAACTGGGTATTTTCAGCAACGAACGATCAACGAGCCCAAAATTGTCTTGCTGCCGTGACTTACCAAGATGGATGACATGATCACGAGCTTCCATGACAGGGCAGGTTAAGGTCTCACAACGCAATTGCGTTTCTCACGCAACCACCGGCCAACTACCATGAGGCCCGCAAAGGAGCTCGATAACTTTTATTTAGACAGATAGGAAGAGCTCGTATACCTCCACCGGGGTAATGAAGGTTAAGGAGTGAATGAACCACAGGCATCCGTCTGCCAACTACGACATCCGAAAAACAAAAGAAGAAAAAAAGGATTTGTTAGCCCTCTTTAATGTCTAGTAATGCCTTTATCTTACATCACAAATACACCTTACACTTTTTCTTCAAGTCTAATCAACCATTAGGAAAGCCCTCGATACATCTATTTTGACGCACCTGAATGTACTTCACCAACCTCTCTTTCCCTGGCAGAGGTTGCGCTGGCTCAAGATGGTGTTTGCCCATTGCGTTTGTGGATCGTGATACCGCATCTCGTTTTCGGGGAAGGATGTGAGAAAAAAAACCGTTGCGTCTCGGCGGAAGGGGGGAGGGGAAGTCAAATGACTACTACTACTACCTCTTCCTGCCGAGACAGGAAATGTTTGCTTTCTCGGAACATTGCGTCATGTATGTCGTGCTCCAGAAACAGGTAATGATAACCTAGGCATTTGTTTGGTAATTTGCATTGTCTTGCAGAGTATGTATTTGTATAATTGGTACATACATATATTCCCATAACTTCACAGGACATCGTCCTCCTTTTGTAGACAATTCATAGCTTGCAACTTACCAGGCAAATTATCGCCGTAACAAGCTTGCATCTCCTTTCAACATATTCTTTCGCTCAAGAGACATCTCAGCTTGAGAGTATCCCCCAGACAACACAAGAGAGACAGAATGACCAAGCCAAAAAATACGCCACATCCAACGAAACGTCGTCGTTTGGCGCAAGAGTCGAGCGGCAGACCTGTTGACGATGGTGAGAGATCCAAATCTGGCAGTACACTCAAGCAACCTGCCCATGAAGCTAGACCGAAGCTGATGGTCGACGCGCTCATTATCCAATCTTCCAGAGATTAAGACAAATTCTATTGAAAGAGAGTTCCCCAACGGCATCGCAGACGACAGCGAGCAATGGTGCGGAAGCATCTTAGAGAGGGCGAGGAGAATCCGGCTGGTGCTGCCTCACCTTGACACACAGACGACGGTCAACTTGCTCATATTTCCCCTGGCAAAGACACCCGCCCCCATCCGCGCCAGCCCAATCTTTGAACTCCTCACCGAGACGGTCAACGAGCCATGGCGCAACGTGATCAAGTACGCGGGAACTCAGCCCCAGCCAGGCCTTCACGCAGGAGCAGTTCGCCAAGCTGTCCCCACACATCGGATTCATGGTCGTTGGCGGTCTGTCGCTCTACATGCCCACCGAGTCCATGTTCTTCCCCTTCCTCTCGCTTGAGACAGCCAGCACCCGAAGCGGCAGAACTGCTGATAATGCAGACCGCAAGAACACGCCGACCATGAGTATCGCGGTCCGGGGCGTTGTCGAGCTGTTCAAGCTGGTCAAGCGGGAGCTCGACCTCGACCTCGACCGACAGATCCTCGCCTGGTCTATCGCCTAAGACAGCCAGACGGTGCGCATTTACGGACACTATCCGGTCATCACGCCCAAGGGCACCGAGTACTACCGCCACCCGCTTAGGTTGTTTCACTACAGCGGAGAGATGGATGGCGAGGAGAGGTGGACGGCCTACCAGATCGTGGCCATCATCTACCTATGGTGGCTGCCAAAATACCGCCAGGCCCTCGCTCCAGTCTTCAGTGCCACCAGACTTTTGGTTCGAACTCTTTTGGGCGAGCCTGCTTACCTTGAGTGTGTGAATGGGTGTGTCCATGCATCACCGAACCCTCACATGTAAACCGTAGTGCATAACCTTCGTGCCCATTAGCCGCTGCTGTTGAGCCTCGCCGTAGTTTTGGTTGCCATCATTTGCGTTGAGTGAGTAGTAATCACTTGCCCAACGTGGCTGCGAGCTCCTAAGGGAATCGGCTTGGGAAAAATACGAAGTTGAACTTGACAGAAGTACAGATATGGGGGGAAAGGGAATGTGAGACGGGGAAAGTTTTTGAAGGAGGAGAGAGAAAGAAGAAAGAGGGCGAGGGCCTATAGGATTTGGCTCCTTCCTTCTTAACTTGGAATGGTTTGCTCCTTCTCGAGAGGTGCGCCGTCGCCAACCACCTACGATGACAAAACAAAAAGAAACCCGCAAGACGGATCGGCAGAATGAGAATAAAAATGCAAAAGATAAACGACCCACGTGCGGCTCGAACGCACAATCTTCTGAGATGAGGTCCTTTTCAGAAGCCGAAATCAGATGCCTTACCATTTGGCCAGCGGGCCGACGTCTCATTGGATATTCCTTTAAGCGTGTAAGAGAATACTTATATGAGGTGGACTGTTTGTACTTTTCATAATGACCCGTGCTCATTGGCTAGCTCTATTGTTCGTTAGCGCCACGGTTTTGAGGAGTATATGGCCCGTGCCGAGAATTTGAGTGGCCCAACTTCTTGTTGCTTGACCATCCATCGGGTTGGCCAGTCTCCACAGTGACAACAGCAACTCATTTCCAGAGCATTGACTGACATGGAAGATTCATCTGGAAAGAAACACCCATGTCAGCAACTATAAACAAGCTGAGAGTATTATTAAAGTCGACTCATTACCTTATTGCATTTTCGAACTACCTCGGTTGCTATTTTCTAACCAAAGCAATGATTTTCTTGGTGATTGTGGGAGAACAGTCATCTTCTTGTCCTTCCTTCCCTTTCTGGACATTGCATCCGACGCAACCGATGTAAATCATTCTTGCATCTAAAACTAGAGAACTAAGCCTTAAGAAAAGGAGATCAAGAAAGAGCTCCCGGAAACTCTTACCTTTCATGATGCCCTTCTTCCTTCTCTCAAATTGTCTCCCGCCAGTCAAAGCGGGTCTGATGACCGCGGCCATTTTAAGCGTTTGAAATAAAGTCGCCGATCATTTCCCGATCCCGGGCTCGGCGACGACACGGAGGCTGGGGAGCACTCTCGGAGGTGACGTGCCGCTTCAACTTGGGAAAGGTCTCGGCACGCCGGGAGCCTTGGCCCAGGAACCTGGACCGCTTTCCCCTGGCACTGCGACGTCGACATTTGCCCGGCTCGCGGGGCATGCCATGCAACTGCAACGCTGGGACTGGCTACAACCTACAAAAAGCTCGGTGCAGATCCGGTAGTCCCCCCCCTGAGCAATCAACGGGATATCTATCCGTGACTAAAACGAACGCCCTAACTCGCGGGCCGTTTGTGTCCTCTTCCCCATCGCGCTACCCAAGTATCAGAGCCAGATCCGCGATCTCATGCTCATGGACCATGGTGGTTTGCCCCATATTCCGTAGCCCGGATCCTGCGAGCCTTGGCCTCCTGCACATGTCTGTAAGCTGACACCTGCTAGCCCCTCGGGCGTTTATACCAGCTTTGCTCTCCCAAGTGTGACGCCATCCTGGCTCTTTCCCCGGGATGGGAATGTCAAGTTACATCAAGCCGCAACCGCGGACAGGGTTACCGCCTGTTTTCCACCTACCGGAGGATACTTGCTCAGCGCTCGCTACCTTCCGTGGGTGTTTGCTTGCAGTAAGCGTGCCGAAGACGCGATTGTCACCTGATGCCCAAGACGAGAATGACGACTTCCACGTCGCTGGTATTTAACATTGGAAGCCGCGCCACTGGGAACTGGTGCCTCTTCTTGTCCTTCGCACGCCAGTAAAGTCAAGCCTGGAAATACTCTGGTTGTCCGACAGCAAGATGAGGTCCACATCATCTCAGCTCCTACGCGTCCTAGCAACGGCGGGCTCATGTAAGTGAAAATAAGCTCTATGATATCTGAGAAATGTTGGCTGTCTAGAGACTAACACATGCCCTGAAAGTCTTGCCATCTGTCATTGCCCAGGCCTCAGCCGCCGTCAAGTACACCGACCCAGCCACCGGGATCATCTTCGACACCTGGGGAATTGCCAATGGGGGCTCTCAAACACAAGGAGGAATCACCTTCGGTGTTGCTTTGCCTTCCGACGGCCTCAGCAACGATGCTAGCGAATTCATCGGAATTCTGGTAGGCTGATACCAGTTGGCCCAACGCTGTATGTATCTCGTTACTAAATTTCTACCAGACATGTTCGTCCAAAGACACTATCAACACCGGATGGTGCGGTCTCTCCCTGGGAGGCCCAATGACCAACTCTCTCCTCCTGACGGCATGGCCCAAGGGTAACACCATCTATACATCGTTCCGCTACGCAACCGGATACGCTATGCCCGACGTCTACACCGGAGACGCGAAGCTGACCCAAATCTCCTCCACCGTCAACGCGACACACTACAGCTTGATCTACCGCTGCCAAAACTGTCTTAAGTGGAACCAGGGAGGCCAGGCTGGTGGCGCGTCCACGAGCGCAGGATATATGGTCCTGGGCTGGGTACAAGCCTTCCCTGCCCCCGGAAACCCGACCTGCCCGAGCCAGATCACTCTGGCACAGCACGATAACGGCATGGGAATTTTCGGCGCCGTCTTGGACAGCAACGCCGCCAACCCATCATACACTGCCTGGGCCGCAAAGGCGACGAAGACAGTCACGGAGACATGTGCGGGCCCAACCGAGACGGCCGTCGCCTCAGTCCCAGTTCCGACGGACCTTGCCTTCGACTATATTATTGTCGGAGGCGGTGCTGGAGGCATTCCGCTTGCCGATAAGCTGAGCGAGTCTGGAAAGAGCGTGCTGCTCATCGAGAAGGGCCCGGCATCTACGAGCCGCCATGGCGGAACACTGAAGCCTGACTGGCTTGTTGGTACCAACCTGACGCGCTTCGATGTTCCCGGCCTGTGCAACCAGATCTGGGTTGACTCGGCTGGCATTGCCTGCACGGACACTGACCAGATGGCTGGATGCGTTCTCGGCGGAGGCACTGCCATTAATGCTGGCCTGTGGTTCAAGGTAAGAGGTGCTCTCTCAGTGCTCTCTCAAACCGTCCTAACCGAAGGCACGTTTGTTTACTAACCCCTGGATTAGCCCTATGCCCTCGACTGGGATTACCTTTTCCCAACTGGCTGGAAGTCTGCCGATTTGCAGGCGGCGACCAATAGAGTGTTCTCTCGCATTCCAGGCACAGACACACCTTCAACCGATGGCAAACGCTACATTCAGCAGGGCTTTGACGTTCTCTCTCGCGGCCTTAAGGCTGGTGGGTGGAGCCAAGTCACGCCGAATACTGTCCCGAACCAGAAGAACCGCACCTTTGCAAACACTCCGTACATGTACTCTGGTGGAGAGCGTGGTGGCCCTTTGGCAACCTACCTCGTAACCGCTAAGGGCCGTAGCAACTTCAAGCTCTGGCTGAATACGTCTGTCAGGCGTGCCGTTCGCGACGGTGGCCATGTAACCGGCCTTGAGGTCGAGGCTTTCAGAGATGGAGGATATAAGGGGACCATCAATCTCACGAAACTCACCGGCCGCGTGATCCTGTCTGCTGGCACATTTGGCAGCGCCAAGATCCTTCTCCGAAGTGGAATTGGCCCGAAGGATCAGCTTGATATTGTCAAGGCCTCCACCATCGACGGGCCCACGATGATCGGCAACGACTCTTGGATCAACCTCCCAGTTGGCTACAACTTGGATGACCATCTTAATGTAAGAATCTTTCTCCAGCATGCCGACCTGGTCTATTCTAACACGATGACTGGTAGACCGACACTGTTATCACGCACCCCGATGTCGCCTTTTACGATTTTTACGCGGCGTGGACGAACCCGAATGTGACGGATAAGACCAACTATCTCAACCGTCGCACAGGAATTCTTGCACAAGCCGCTCCCAACATCGGCCCCATGTAAGCCTCTGCAAGCTTGAATATATGCCAATCCGTACAAGGCTAACATAATGCAGGTTCTGGGAAGAAATCAAGGGAGTCGATAACATTATCCGCCAGCTTCAATGGACTGCCCGTGTTGAAGGGAGCTTTGACACCCCGAATGGCCGTATGTCCTTACTCCCTTATTTTTTACTCGCACAAAGAACTGACATCCACCTCTCTCAGACGCCATGACAATGAGCCAGTATCTCGGCCGAGGCGCAACCTCGCGGGGCCGCATGACCATTACGCCCAACCTCGGGACCATTGTCTCGGATGTCCCTTACCTCAAGGACGCCAACGACAAGGCAGCTGTCATCCAAGGCATCATCAACGTCCAGAACGCGCTCAAGGGCGTCTCGGGCCTGGTGTGGCAATATCCTAACTCATCCACCAGCGCAGCCGACTACGTTAACAACGTTCGTTCTACCCATATTTTCCTTTTCTTTTCCACATTACCTCTAACTAACTGATTTAAAAAAAAACAGATGGTCGTATCGTACTCCAACCGGCGCTCCAACCACTGGACCGGTACCGCCAAGATCGGCACCGACGACGGCCGCATTAACTCGGGTTCCGCCGTCGTGGATACCAACACGCGCGTCTATGGCACCGACAACCTGTTCGTCGTCGACGCCAGCATCTTCCCCGGCGTTCCCACTACCAACCCGTCGAGCTACATCGTCGTTGCCGCTGAGGCGGCATCCCAGAAGATTCTGGCCCTGCCGGCAAATGCCGCAGTGGCGAAGTACGGACAGTGCGGCGGTCGCAACTGGTCGGGGTCGTTTGTTTGCGCCGCCGGGTCTACGTGCAAGTTCACCAACGAGTGGTACTCGCAGTGTCTTTGAGAACGGGAAAATTTTTCTGATGCCCGTTTGAGGGTGGATAGGATATATTCTGTTTTCAAGGGCGGTCTTTTTTGCTTCCTCTGTGCATATTTAGTTGCGTTTTTACATTGCGCTCGTATATATTACAACTATCCCCTTTCGTCCCCTTTTGGCGATTTTCACACTTTCACCTGCTTTGCCTATCTAACGTACCGACGAGTCCCCAAAAATCATGTCTCTCCTTAGGTACTGCTTTACTAGTCCCAAGAGTTAACAGAAAACAGCTGTGTCATAGGCATCCGAATAAGAGAAATCTGAAATTTCCCTGTACGGTCTTTATAGTGCGGTCTGAGTGAGTGGCTCCCGGAATTCATACTGCGTCATTTATGTGAGGCAATAAGCCAATATATCACCGGCTTCTTCGAGTCAGAGAAAGCTTACATTGTCTATCTGCCCAGCTACCTAGTCTGTGTAGTCTACCTCAGTATCTACCGTGACCCCAAATAGCGTACACCATCCGTCATAGTGTTGTCAAAAACAAATATAGGTGCTGTACCTACTGCAAAGTATTGACACAGCTCTGCGTGTATGGCTCTAAAGACCAGTACATTGCCCGTTGCAAACTGTTGTCAGAAA